TTTTTTTTTTTTGGCTGGGGCTGGGTTTGAACCCACCACCTCCGGCATATGGGACCCGAGCCCTACCCTTTTGAGCCACGGGCGATGCCCTCTTTCTGTTTTCTTGATGAAGGCTTTCAATACTATAAATTTCCCTCTTAGGACTGCCTTTGTAGTATCCCACAGGTTTTGATAATTTGTGTCTTCGTTTTCATTTAATTCCAAAAATTTGGTGATTTCTTTCTTAATCTCGTCTTTGACCCACCTATCAGTCAACCTAAGATTATTTAGCTTCTATGACTTTGTTTGAGTATGGAGATTCCTATTGCTGTTGAGTTCAACTTTTATTCCATGATGGTCTGAGAAGTTACAAGGAACAATTTCCTCACTTTTAAATTTGCTGAGGTTAGACTTGTGTCCTAGGATATGGTCTATTCTGGAGGATGACCTGTGGTCTGATGAGAAGAATGTATATTCAATTTTATTAGGGTGAAATGTTCTGTAGAGGTCTGTAAAGTCCATTTGTTCTAGGGTCATGTTTAAGTCTAATATTTATTTGTTTAGTTTCACTTGGAGAATCTATCCAAAACTGTCAAAGGTTGTTAAAATCTCCAACTATTATAGTGCAGGAAGATATCAAGTTGTTCATATCCATTAGGGTCTGTTTATGAATTGAGGAGCATTCTGGTAGGGTGCATAAATGTTAATTATCGAAATCTCTTCATGTTGGGTGTTTCCCTTGACAAATATGTAGTGACCTTCCTTATCTTTCTTTATCTTTGTTGGTTTAAAGCCAATTGTATCTGTTACTAAAATTGCAACCCCGGCTTTCCATTTGCTGGTATTATACAAGTCCATCCCTTTACCCTGAGTCTATTTTGTCCTTTAAGGTAAGGTGTGATTCTTGTATACAGCAGATGTCCTGTCTGAGTTTATGTATCCAGTCAGCCAGCCTGTGCCTCTTAAGAGGACAGTTTAAACCGTTCACATTAATTGAGAGAATTGATAAGTCTGGTTGTGTTTTGGATGTCCAGTGGACATTTTTAATCCTTTTCACCACTGTGGAAGTTGGGTTTTGTTCAAAAAATTTCTGGGTGAGTTTACTTTGGAGGTAGAGCATTGCACTGGTGGTTGTGGAGGATGGGTCTGAGAATATCCAGGAGAGCTTGTTTAGTTATGGTAAAATTCTTCAACATGCGTATGTCATTAAGTATTTGATTTCTCCATCACAAATGAAACTCAGTTTAGCTGGATAGAGGATCCTGGGCTGGAAGTTGTTTTGTTTTAAGAGATAGAAGGTTGATGACCATCTTCTTCTTTCGGCTGAGAGATCTGCAGTTATTCTGATATTTCTCCCTTTGTAGGTGATGCTTTTCTTACGTCTGGTTGCTTGCAGAATTTTCTCCTTCATCTCCACTTTGGCAAAGTTAATTGCAATGTGTCTAGAAGATGTTTTATATGGATTGAATCTTGCTGGGGTTCTGAAACTGTCTGCTATCTGCAGTTCTGAATTTCTTGCAATGTTTGGGAAATTCTCCTCCAAAATCTCTTGGAGTAGAGCATCTGTACCTTTAGCAGCATTCTCTTCTCCTTCAGGAATTCCTATAAGACGAATGTTTGATCTTTTGCATGATCCCACAACTCTCTCAGGGAATGATCAGTTTTTGCTCTCCATTTGTCTTATCTCCTTAAGTGTTTGGGAACGTTCAAAAGCTTTGTCCTCAGTTTCAGAGATCCTTTCTTCTGCCAGGTCAACTGTATTAGTGAGGCATTCCACTGTATTTTGCAGCTCCTCAACTAACTTTTTCATTTCCTTGAGCTCTGCTATCTATTTTCTCATTATGTCTATATCTCGGGTGACTTGAGACAACTTTAGAACTACTCTTTGGGCTCGGCACCTATGGTCAAGTGGATAAGGTGCCAGCCACATACACCTAAGGTGGCAGGTTCAAATCCAGCCTGGCCCTGCCAAAACAACAATGACGGCTGCAACCAAAAAATAGCGGGGTGCTGTGGTGGGCACCTGTGGTCCCAGCTACTTGGGAGGCTGAGGCAGGAGACTCGCTTGAGCCCAGGAGTTGGAGGTTGCTGTGAGCTGTGATGCTGTGGCACTCTACCCAGGGGGATAGCTTTAGGCTCTATCTCAAAAAAAAAAAAAAAAAAACCCAAAAAACTACTCTTTGGAATTAAATTTCCATCTTTTCTTCCATTCTATTTATCTTATTTGCAATCCATATTCTGAGTTCAGTTTCTGACATTGCATTCTGACATTTCTTGTCTATGCATGGCATCTTCAGTTGTATCTCCTTTGTCATTTCTTGGAGAGGGTTGGTCTACTCTGGTTATTCATGTTGCCAGAGTTCTTCTGTTGAGTCCGCACCATGCTTATTTTCTACCATTTGGTTATTAGAACTGGTAGGGTGATTGAATTGGGGTTCCTGGGTAGTAGACATAGCCCCTTACCAAAGCCCTAGGCTTTGTAATTATGGTTTATCTCCTACAACCTTAAAAAGGCCCCTTTCAGAGTTTTGGCTGGAAACTCTGAGGACCTACTTGGTGAGATAGTGGAGCTCTGTTTTGATATCAGCCAACCTCTACCGTATCCTAAGAAACCGCCCTATTCTTTTTTTTTTTTTCTGCAATTTTTTGGCCGGGGCTGGGTTTGAACCCAGTACCTCTGGCATATGGGGCCTGCGCCCTACTCCTTTGAGCCACAGGTGTTGCCCGGAAACCACCCTATTAGATTTAAATCTCAACTGTGAAGAGATACAAACAGCTGCGGCGCCCAGCCCCCACCCTTCAGTTCTTTTCTACTACAGAACTTCAAAGTTCAACCTCAGAACGTCCCAGAGTAGACAGCCCCAGAATCCAACCAAATAGTCTCTGGCAGTACAAATCCTGCCCAACAGAGAGGGATTCAAGGACAATTCAAAACAAAGGGATTCAAAGCACAATTGGAGCCAGGAATCCATACTCCCACCTGCCAGACTCAGTCCACACTGTTGTCTGCTTCTCTGCTCACAGGCCCAGCTGGAGCTGTGTGTCTCGGTCCACACACAGCTAGCCTCTGGAGTAGGGTCTGGAGTAGTGCCTGCCAAACCAGGTGGAGTCAGGGGACCATGCCCCCTCTTGTTGGTCTCAGTCCACTGCCTGGCAAGCCTCTGTTTGCAGGCTCTGTTGGAGTCAGGGCACTGGGCCTCCTTTCTGGTCTCAGTCCACACATAGCTAGCCTCTGCTTGCCAGACCAGTTGGAGACAGGGGACCACGTCCCACTTGCCAGTCGCCACTGCCTGACAAACCTCTGTTTGCCAGCTCTGTTAGAATCAGGGTACCATACTTCGCCTGCAGGTCTTAGTCCTTACCTGGTAAGCTTCTGCTCACCCGCCCCACTGGAGGCAGTAGAGTACGCCCTAGCACTCAGGGCTTGCTTCACACCCAGTAAGCCACTGTTTGAGAGTTCTGTTGGAATCAGGAGACCATGCCCTTGCTCTCAGGTCTCAGTCCATGCCTATTAAGCCTCTGCTCGCAGGCCCTGCAGGGACCAACCTTGTCTGCCAAACTCTGTCCATATGGGGCAACCACTCTCCTGCTGTGGGTTCTGCACCCTGTCCTGCCAGGCACAGCCCAAACCAAGGGTCAACACTACCACTGGCCGGTCATAGTCATAACCAGGGTACTGCTCCTCCTCCCACCGAGTGTCCCTTTCTTCCCACACCCTCTTTTTTCCCCGTTAGTCACAGATTTCGTCCTCATGGTTGGTGATCCACACTATGCCCAGGTCTCTCATGACAAAACCAAACCCTCTCTGCTCTGCAGGGGGCAGAGCTTCAGACTGCCATGCTGGAGGGAAAGGGTAGACTGGGAGTTTGGACTTGTGAGGAAAAATATCTGTTCAGTTTTATGCGTGGTGAGGTGGTGTCTAGGTTCATAAGTGAGACCTCCCTGGAGAAAGAGACCTGGAGTTTAGTGGCTCTCTCCAGTGAGGTAAAATGAGAGGTCTTTTGTTCCCTGCTCATTTGTAGATAGCCTGTGGCAGGTCTCCTCATTGGGGGAGGGGTCTCCCGACCTCTAGTCAATAGGCTTTGTACCTGTAATTTGTTTTCTTGAATACTCTTCCTTGGAGTTACAGCTTGCCGAACTTCTTTCTTGGCTCAGCTCCCCTTAGTAAAGTCTGGTTCCATCCAGTTTTTCTTCCTTTGTTCAGGAACCTCTGAGGAGGGTTGCTACCAGTCGGCCATCTTCCCAGAATTCTCTCTGGATACCTTCTTTGAAGAAATGTGTATTCTTATTCTTTGCCCTTCTAAAAATGAGGTTTTTTATCTTTTGATATTGAGTTGTAATAGCTCTTTACTGTATTGTATTATAGATACAGTCCCTTATCAGGTATTATCATTTGAAAAAATGTTCTCCCATTCTGTGGGGGTTTTTTTGGTGGTGGTGGTGGTGGTGGTGTCCCTTTTTTTTTCTTCCTTGAGACAAGAGTTTCCCTCTGTTGCCCTGATATTCAACTGTTTGTCTTGAATAAACACCCTGGATTGTCAGAAGCCTTTGGTTAATTTCCAGAGTTCTGAACAAGTTGATTTTGACTAATTTTTCTGTTTTCTTGTCTTGTATGGGGGAGAAGATTTTCAAGCATTCTTATACTACTATTTCTATTGACATCACTTAGTGATGACATTTTAAAAAGGATTATGTTAAAGGTATTAAGTTTATTGCATTCCTCAAAAGCTATGAGATGTTATTAGAAGGTTTCTTCCTCTTATAGTTAATTTCATTAAATTAATAGATAAAAGAAAGGTGATGTTTCAGTCCCTTTACTTTGGCTAACTCAAGCACTTTTTCAAAGCTAAATATTACTATTATAAACCAATAGTTTAGATGCTTCTATTTCTTTTTTTCTCTTTGATATAGCAATGCTTCTATTTCTTTATTAAACTGCAAACCATTCGTTTTTCCATTTACACTTCAACTTTGTAAGACAACTTCGTTTTGTTTCCATGCCACCTATTTCAAACAATAAGGTTCCCCCTGCTCTGAAGAAGCTGGAACTCTTAGGAGACATAAGATATATACTTATTGTATCCAGTTGGTGGAATCAGGGGATTTGCAGAAAGAAGTAGCATCTGAGATCATAGGCTTACTAATGCTGGAGGTAAGATGGAAGGCAAAATCTTTTTGTTTTGGGGTAGTTTGTTTTGATTTATAATTTGTTGAGAGCAGGAAGACTTGCATAGTTCCTGTTCAAACCTAGCATAGTTCCTGTTTATAAGAGCTGTTACTAAACAAAAAGGTAGATGAATGGGCAAATTAACCACCTAAGTGTATACATTTAATTTCCGGTACCAATGACATAAATCTCTTTGAAGAGTTGACATATTTGAAAACATAAGGGAACTGGTGGAGGAATCCAACCTTTGAAGGCCTTTGCAGTTATAAGTATGTATCAGCAAAATTACTGCATCGGTTCTCTATGGGACCATTTTGGGGGTTCAGTATCAATTCAGTTATTTTATTATAGCAAAAGTCTTTATTTCTTGAAAGAAAACAACAATTGTTGGATTTCTGCATAAGATTTTTTGTTACCTCATTAACTTTTAGGCTCACCATTTTCCAGGACCGTTTTTGGTTGAATTAGCCAATGACTTTGTTAGTGCTGTCAAAGAAGGCAGTCTAGTAAATGGAAAATCTCTGGAGTTACTGCCTATCATCCTCACTGCCTTAACCACTAAAAAGGAAAATCTGGCTTATGGAAAAGGTAATTGTGTCTCAATTTTAGTGATTTTTATCTTTATTCACATAATTTTATTTCTCAGTGTATTTTGCATTTCTAGGTGAATTCAGTGGGAAAGAATGTAAGAAGCAGTTGATTAGCACCCTCTGTTCTGGCAGGTGAGTCTTTCTCCTTAATGTGTAGAACTTTTTTTTTTTTTGAGACAGAGCCTCAAGCTATCCCCCGGGTAGAGTGCCATGGCATCACGCTCACAGCAACCTCCAACTCCTGGGCTCAAGCAAGTCTCCTGCCTCAGCCTCCCAAGTAGCTGGGACTACAG